GATCATGATGATTCAACTAAAATAGTTTTGATTTTAAGACGCTTGTGAAAAATAGGGAGGGTTTACTCAATGTTGAGATAATCTTTTAGATCTTTGCATGTATGTGTTAAAAGTTGATGATTTTGAGAATTATTGAAAGATAGGAGGAAAATCCCAAATTTTTGTACAAACCCTAAGTTAGAATGTTGATTGAAAAGAGGGTTTTGAGTTATGATTGTTTCGGAAACTCAAAGAATTGTTAAATAATTAAATCTTTATATTTATATTGAAAATTTCTATTGAATATGAAAAAATTTAAGAACTTTGAAATGGAAATTATTATGTTTCGTCAATGAGAAGTGACAAAGAGTTGAAATGAAGAACAGAAGAGGTGGACGTTAATGATTTGAGAAATGTTTGGAAATAATGAACTGTGGATGATGATAATGATTAAGTGGATTTTGGTAATATGATTACATTATTATCTAATTAATGTTTAGCTATCGTTGAGAGAATTCTATTGTAATTTATTATTTAAACAATTATAATAGTTGCACTTCATGCATAGCATTGCATTTGAATGGTCTTGGACCAGTGTCAAGTCTTCATTGGGATACAAGGTTTTTTTTTTTTTTTGGAAAAATGGTTTGGGAATCAATGTTTATTTGAGGTGTCCCTTGCCTTGCCATGTAAAGACGACAAATGTGGTGGAATCGTTGGAAATTATGGTTCTATGCCCAATTATCGCAGGCTTGATGCAAGATAATGTGAGGGAATATTGTCTGGTGTCCAATTGTCCCTCTATGCTTGACGCTAGTAAATGTGGATTTATTTTTAAAATAAAATGGGTGTCCAATTGCCCCTCCGTGCTTGATGTTGGTACAAATGGAGATGGTTTCAAAAATGTGAAAGGTGCTCAATTGCCCTGTCTCAGGTTAATGCCGGATGAATGTGGAAAATGATGTTTTCATGGTGCTCAATTACCCTTCCATGCTCGATGGCCGGTAAATGTGGGGAGCTTCTATTTACACACACTAAACCCCCTTTATACACACACTTAATGAAGGGAGTGTGTAAAAAGTGTAGTGAGGGGGGCTGTGTAGAAAGTGTATATTGTGTGTGTAAATAGAAGCTCCCGTAAATGTGGGAGTGATGTTGGAAAGTTTATGATAGATGCCCAATTACCCTTCCGTACTCAGTGGTCAATAAATGTGAGAGTATATTGAAATACATATTATGGATTTTGTTGCAAAATGGGGTTTCAAAGATTTAACAAGGTCCAAGTAAGTGAGACAACATTTTTTATTTTTTATTTTTTTAAAAAAGACGACACATATTGGTTTGTGCATAGCATGTGCATTGCATGAGCATGATTATGAGAAACAAAGATATTTAAATCGGTAAGATTGTAACACCCCAATTTCTAAGCCCAAATGTTGATACAACAATCAAGGTTCTTTAAAGGAAAACCGAAATAAATTCTCATACTTGCATTATATGACACGAATAGTTCTCATGCGATAATACATTCAATTCAAAACAAAATAAAACAAATAAATAGATACCCTCAAGGGTTTACAAGTTTCCAAAGCTTAAGCCCTGTTACACAAAATGGTTATTCAAATCCACACAAATACAACCCTTGGCTTACAAAACAGAGTCACGCAAAATGAGAGTATTGTACTCCCAACACACACACTTCCACGCCCCTAGTTGGGTGGAATCACCACATCTTTTCCTGCACAAAAATTCCGTAGGGTGAGCATAAAGCCTAGTAGGAAATTCTTAATAAAGTATATACATTTTATACAAGTCTCAAGATATGAAATGCACATGCCATGCAATGCCCTTTTTTAAGATAAATCACATTTTCATCTTTTGAAAACCATCGTGCTCAATGATGTCATGCAATTTCAATTATTCAAAACTTAACAATTTATTTCAAGGGTGATAAATACGACTCTGGTAATCCCTAGGTTGGTGTCTGCAAGTAGACTATACTAGTATTACCAAATTGTCATTTTTACCGGTATTAACTGGAAGGCTCGACACATATCCGCGCGGTTTTTCGGTCTTTCACCCCGAACCCTCAGGCCAACTTATTCAATTTCATCTATACCACCTATCAAGACTTACTAACGTATTTACCCCAAAACCATTTTATGAAAACTTGTTTTCTCAACATTCCTTTCTCAATGCAATTTTCAAATCGACTTTCAAAGTTTAATGTAATCAAATGAATTGATATGTCAATGCAACAACAATCAATACAATGTAACAATTCTTCTACATAATACTATCATTGTGATCAAAATTCCCGTTTCTCATTTCAATGTAATTTCACAAGATAAATATAAATACTTTTATCCCAATTCATCATCCAAGGAATAGTACGATTCCCTCTTCTCAAGTATTCTCAACAATTAGTCATTTCTAGACTATAGTAATATTCTGGATAACAATTTTCAAAATGAACAACAATTCTCAAATTCCCCGAAATTCATCATTTATATAAATATAAATAAGAAATTTTCTAAATATTCATTTATTTTGACACGCAAAATAAATATAACAATATCATTCATGGATTTTCAGTTTCTTAAAAAAAAATTCCCAAATTCTAGGTTTTCTTACCAAAACTATACAACTCAAATCTTTTGAAGAAAACTTTCCAAAATCATCTTTTCTTCATTCAATAAAGATCAAAACCCATAAGATCATTTTAAAATAACAAAAGACAAACCCACTTTCAAAATCGCTCAACTTCTTGAATCAACAATCAATTTTCAGAAGCTATCAAAGGATGATTTCGAAAATCATCTAGATCTTGCAAAAATATATATATAACTCAAAGAAAATTCCTACCTCAAGTTTTGAAGAGAATCTGAGATGAAACTCCAAAATCTACGGTGTCGAAACTCAATCTCCACCGCACACAATGAAGCCTTCGAAGTGATAACCAACTTTGGTGAAAAACTTAGCCTAAATCCCAATGGATTTGGAGAAATCAAAGAGAGAATATGACTTCTAGAGAGAGAAGATCTAGATTTGGAAATTTGGAGAGTTTTAGAGAGAGAGGGGGGTGCAAAAAGTGATCTGAAACCCTAATTTACGGACTGATATAACAAGGTCGCTTGAGCGTGAAATACACTTTCCCGTAAGCAATTTTGAATGCATTTTGCATTTTTGCTTTCAGTGAGCTGACCAGGTAGCTCAACCCCCGAAGTTGACCGGGTCAAAATCGGGATCGCTACAAAGATTATTTCTACTGGGCTGCAATGCTCACTTTCTATTGGACTGAATATTCGAACTTCCAAGTTATGCTGATAATGTGCTTCTATAGTGTGTGACGAGTAGTGAAGGCTTTATTGGGGCAAGAGAGCTCCTTTTGATGATTACTTGTTGACAGCTACCAAGCTTACTTGTTCGAGATAGGATTGTAATTTGTTGTGATCAAGGTTTTAACCTTGAAAGGTGCAAGCCCTTAGGGCACTTTTATTGTATCTCTTTTTGGTATGCTCTTTTCAAGAAAATCCTTTGGGGATTTGCAATATAATCCAATGATGTAATTATAAAAGAAATTATGAGAAAGAAATGTATTTTTTTTTATAAGATTGTTGTATTTTACTTTCTTTATCCACACTTACATTATAAAATTGGTTAATAATAATGGGTTGGTAATTATAAAATGGGTTACAAATATTGGGGCGTTATATAATGCATTGCAAAGAATGAGGTGCAACTAAAGTTTGTGAAATCTTGTAATCAAATTGCTGACGTATTCACAAAGTCACTCAAGTATGAAGACTTCACCGAGTTTCAAACCTTGCTTGGAGTTACTAAAAGTCAGGTTTAAAGGGGGTGTTGAAATAATAAACATGATTTTATTTCAATTAATTTACACATTTCTAAAAGTATCTATTTATTTATTGTTCATGTATTGTCAATGTTCATGTATTTTTGAGGTTTATGTATTCCTAGAATGGATGTATCTAGGAAGATTTGTATATAGTACATTGGATGTAGAAGATGTACTGGTCTCTTGGTTTGTCCATTAGAGCTTATAAATACCTCATGTACCTAAGTGTTCTAAATATTAAGAGTTAAGAATTCCTCTTCAAAGATGAATTCTTAACATTTGTGTGATCCCTTATATTTCCAACAACATTTTCTAGAGGCAATCCAACAACATTTTCAATCTCTCTAGCATTTGCGTGATCCCTTATATTTCCAACAACATTTTCTTTTTGCATCAAAGATAAAGCTTTCTTTACAGATGGAGGGTTGTCTAGAGGCAATCCAAGCCTCTGCCTTCTTCTTGCTTGCAAAAAGAATACTAATCATCTTGTTTGGTTGAATGCTCTAATCTGAAATTTGAGTTTTTTATTTTTCGTATTTTTTTTTCACTGAATTTTTAAATATTTTAAGTTTTTAGATACGTCTAATATAAATATATTTAAAAAGTATAATATTTGTGAAAAAAAACTTTTAAAAAAATCACTAAATACCAAAATATACAAAATTAAAAAATTCACTAAAAAAAAAAACTCAACTTTTAAAATATTTGAGTTCAAAAATTGGAACCAAACAACGTGGAATTGCAGTGAATTGTAGCAATAATTTGAATAATGAATAGAAAGAGAATATTAGTAGAGTTTAAGAATTAAATGCTTCCTAGACATTATTGTTCCCTAGATGCTTACTGCTTCTCAATAATATTAAAGCAACAATTTGAATGGTGAACAAAAAAAGAAAATTGAAAAAGTTCAAGAATTAAATGCTTCCTAGATTCTTGGTGCTTCCCAGATGTTGTATTCCAGAGAACAGTTTTCAGCAGGGGTTGTGACTGTTTATGAAAAGGGCACACCTATTCACTTGAAGATGCAGAGAAAAGCTATGTCTTGAAATTTCATGCGGTATTTTCAATTGGGAAAACTACTATACATGCAATCAATTGTGCAACAATGCTATAGTCTGAACATCTGACATCCATAGCAAAACGTAAGAGAATTAAAAAAAACCTTATCTTGCTGTAGTTTCTGACGAATTTTATCTCTCTCTCTATTCTCTTTCTCTTTCTCTGCTTTCCGCAAGGCTATAGAGCTAAATAAAAAATAGCATGTGAAAATTGTAAGTAGCAAGAAAAAGAAAAAAGAAGACATGATATGCAAGGTACAATAAGCGTAACTATGACTCCACAACAGACCGTTTTCTTTCATTTTCTTCCTGAATTCTCTTGGCCTCAAGCAGTTCCTTACCTGCTTTTATCCTCTCCTGCAAGTGCATAACAGCTAAATTATTCGATGTTCAAAATATGAGAATTATGAGTTTGATTTTTGTAATCAAATATATTCTCTCCTTTTCTTTATTTCTTTATATTCTGGTTGTTGTTTTGTACACAACAGAATTAAATCTTTTAAATACAGTGAAGATTGTCCTACATTCACAAAGTCACTCAAGTATGAAGACTTCACCGAGTTTCAAACCTTGCTTGGAGTTACTAAAAGTCAGGTTTAAAGGGGGTGTTGAAATAATAAACATGATTTTATTTCAATTAATTTACACATTTCTAAAAGTATCTATTTATTTATTGTTCATGTATTGTCAATGTTCATGTATTTTTGAGGTTTATGTATTCCTAGAATGGATGTATCTAGGAAGATTTGTATATAGTACATTGGATGTAGAAGATGTACTGGTCTCTTGGTTTGTCCATTAGAGCCTATAAATACCTCATGTACCTAAGTGTTCTAAATATTAAGAGTTAAGAATTCCTCTTCAAAGATGAATTCTTAACATTTGTGTGATCCCTTATATTTCCAACAACATTTTCTAGAGGCAATCCAACAACATTTTCAATCTCTCTAGCATTTGTGTGATCCCTTATATTTCCAACAACATTTTCTAGAGGCAATCCAACAACATTTTCAATCTCTCTAGCATTTGTGTGATCCCTTATATTTCCAACAACATTTTCTAGAGGCAATCCAACAACATTTTCAATCTCTCTAGCATTTGTGTGATCCCTTATATTTCCAACAACATTTTCTTTTTGCATCAAAGATAAAGCTTTCTTTACAGATGGAGGGTTGTCTAGAGGCAATCCAAGCCTCTGCCTTCTTCTTGCTTGCAAAAAGAATACTAATCATCTTGTTTGGTTGAATGCTCTAATATGAAATTTGAGTTTTTTGTTTTTCGTATTTTTTTTTTCACTGAATTTTTAAATATTTTAAGTTTTTAGATACGTCTAATATAAATATATTTAAAAAGTATAATATTTATGAAAAAAAACTTTTAAAAAAATCACTAAATACCAAAATATACAAAATTAAAAAATTCACTAAAAAAAAAAACTCAACTTTTAGAATATTTGAGTTCAAAAATTGGTACCAAACAACGTGGAATTGCAGTGAATTGTAGCAATAATTTGAATAATGAATAGAAAGAGAATAGTAGAAGAGTTTAAGAATTAAATGCTTCCTAGACATTATTGTTCCCTAGATGCTTACTGCTTCCCAATAATATTAAAGCAACAATTTGAATGGTGAACAGAAAAAGAAAATTGAAAAAGTTCAAGAATTAAATGCTTCCTAGATTCTTGGTGCTTCCCAGATGTTGTATTCCAGAGAACAGTTTTCAGCAGGGGTTGTGACTGTTCATGAAAAAGGCACACCTATTCACTTGAAGATACAGAGAAAAGCTATGTCTTGAAATTCCATGGGGTATTTTCACTTGGGAAACTACTATACATGCAATCAATTGTGCAACAATGCTATAGTCTGAACATTTGACATCCGTAGCAAAACGAAAGAGAATTAAAAAATAAAAAATAGAACTTATCTTGCTATAGTTTCTGACGAATTTTATCGTTTTCTCTATTCTCTTGCTCTTTCTCTACTTTCAGCAAGGCTATAAAGCTAAATAAAAAATAGCATGCGAAAATTGTAAGTAGCAACAAAAAGAAAAAAGAAGACATGATATGCAATGTACAATAATACTGTGTTTAGTTGAAGGATTTGGGGAGGGATTTGGAAAGGGAAAGGGAAAATGTGTGTGAAACTATGTGAAATATAAGAATGATTTATTTACATTTCACCTACCTTTTCCATTTTCCTTTCCAAATGCCTCCCCAAACCCCCCAACCAAACACAGCATAAGTGTAACTATGACTCCACGACAGATCGTTTTCTTTCATTTTCTTCCTAAATTCTCTTTGCCTCAAGCAGTTCCTTACCTGCTTTATACTCCTTTGCAAGTGCATAACAACTAAATTATTTGATGTTCAAAATATGAGATAAGGTCCATCAACAAGACCTATAAAAAGCTAAAGTCAAATACATAATTAATAAATTGATGAAGCTCATAAAACATACACAATCAAAGGGTGTAACGAAAAATAAGGTCTGCTATTAAAAAAAGCACTCTCACGCAACACAGTTAGATGAGAGATTTCAAGATTATAATTAAGCTCCAAACAATTGTGAAGTCTAGGTATGATTCCCAAATGAGGTTTCCCTAATGTTGTGTTTGGTTGAGGGATTTAGAGAGGGATTTGGAAAGGGAAAGGGAAAAGATGTGTGAAACTAGGTGAAATGTAAGTATATTTTATTCACATTTCACCTAACTTTTCTTTTTCCCTTTTCAAATCACTCTTGAAATCCCCCAACCAAATATAGCGTAACTGAAAGATCCTAACTCGACACCGTAACAAGCCCTATATATAATATTTTATCCTCCAACGTCTTATATAAAAAAAGGCATCATGCATTTTTTAAGTTCTAGAAATCTGTAAAGTGGGTGATACTAAGGAGAGACCAAAACCATGTATCACAAAACTGCCACATATTTTCCATGTGCAAAGAATAAACTCCCTCCATTGCATGGGGCAAATATGTGCTTACTAGGGTTGAAATTGATATCTTTAATCTCATAAGGATAAGTGGTTATACAATGACTATTATTTCCTACAAATAATGAAAATAAAAATTCTACTTCTAAAAAATTTATATAAAAAAATAACACAAAATGATATGGTAGTGTCACTTTTGTAAATAAAAAAACATTTAGTAAGTGTTTATTTTCAAGTAAAAAGTTCATAAAGAGCAACACTATCATTTTGTATATCGTCCCAGCATAATATTACTAAATCTGCAAAGTCAACGATTAAATGCAACTTTCTTAAATTTTAATTCAGTAGTGTTTTTTTTCCCCCTTCCTTTAATAATTGCTTTGAACACGAATTTTGGAGACTTCCATAATAGAAATCCGTAATTTGCTATGTAATGGGGCAAAACCTAAATAATCTGCTATGTAATGGGACAAAACCTAAATAAGCAGAATTTAGATTGAGAGGGAGATTTCCATCGGGATGGTAGGCCGGGCGAAGCCCAACAAGGCCCAACTTTGGTGACCTAGAAATATAAAAAAAACATTTCACACACTCGGGGCATAGCACAAGTGTTGGGTCAAATAAAAGCATCCCACGTACTTAGTGTGTTGCACAAGTGTTGGGCCGAGCTCAGTTCAAGTGATGCGCTTTGACCTTCTAGAATTATGCTAGGCAATGGGTTTTGACTTGACATAATTGTGCCAGGCAATGGGCTTTGACCTGGTAGAATTATGCCAGGTCAGGGTACTTAGCTTAGGTTAAGCATGACACGCAACCTTAGTCCACAACTTGGTAGCCTTTGGGTAAAAATGAGTAAGGAATGGCTAAATAGTTGAGCAAATGGAGAACAGTCAGACAAATGGTTTTCTCGGCCTGGTTATCGGCTCAGAAATAGATAAGCTTCAGAGAGACCTAGTAGGTCAAGTTGCTAAGGATGTGCTTTATCCTTAGGCGATAGACTCCTAATGGATTGAGGTTATCAATTCGAGTTACAGTTCCTTAGGATTCTACTATGCTGGAATTTACAAAAGTCGATTCTAAACACTTAACTACTCTAGAAAGCTTTTTCCTGATTTGATCCTAAATTCTAACTTAGGCATCGGAGGGGTTTTCCGACACACACTCACCAGCAAGCTCACTGCTCTTGTATTTTTAGGTCATACGACACCATTCACAAAGGTTCTTACCTGATCATGAGGAGTTAACATGTGGAAAAAATTTTGTGTTTGCACAATTAGCGTTGTTTGTGGGAAGTTTTTTGACTTTGTGATCTAGTTTCTTGTGTTTCAATGGCACAAGATGTACAACCACTTTCTGCCTTGGATGGAACTACGCCTGGGCCAATCAGACAAAAGGCCAACCGCCGTTGATCCTGCCGATGAAAAACCTGGATACTCCTAGGAGAGGTCCTCCGAGGGAGGGGCAACAAAAGTACGCAAGAAGTCCTCAGCGTTCTCGGAACCCAAATAGGCACATGCGACACAAGGCTTCTGACCCTCATCATTTAGAGGATCACTTGAAGAGGCAAGACGATTTAATTAAACAAAATAATTGAAGAAATGGAGCACTTAAAGCGCCAAGTAAAGGGAAAGGGTGTTGTTGGAGTGGAGATCCACGAGGAGCGCACTTAATCTCACCATTCCAACTTGCATAGGAGGCATGCGACTCCTGTTCTTTCTAGCAATGGAAGAATGCCAAAACAGGTGCGATTGTGTTAAGAAAAAAGAGGTTATACACGGAAGGGAGTAGCTACCTTCCTTCACGCTCTTATCCTACCTCCAAGTCTACATATTTTGCAAGGTTAGAGGACCTAAGGAGCGTGGTTGACAATAGAGCACAGAGAAGGTAAGTAGCACAAAGAGTGACCTTTAGGAGCTATGATAGTAGATATGTGAGAAAGCCAACCCCACTCATGGTGGTGCAAATCCCCACTGACAAGGAGTTGGCAAGGTTGAATGCCACACCTTTTACTCTAGAGATAGAGAATGTTTCACCCTGAAGGGATTTTTCATAGCCCAAGTTCACCATCTAAGCAGGAAAGATAAACCCCTACATATACATAAGCCATTACGGCCAAGTTATGGTTGTACATAGGCAGAATGACGCCTTTGACGTGCACAATCTTTCCCTAAAAAATTTAGAGGAAAGTTTAGCATGCATTGGTTCGACAGATTGCCAGCAGGGAGCATTTTGAGTTGGCAATATCTTTGTGACCAGATTCAAGACCAATACGAGGATCCCTATGGAGGTTGATTTGCTTATGGGCTTAAAGTTGGAGCCAAAAGAGTCTTTGAAAGCTTACAATGCTGGATATTGGATGACATTCAACGACATTATTGAATGCCCAAGTAACTTGGCCATTGCCCACTACAAGTGTGGGCTGCCTGTGGAGAACTGTTTGAGAGATTCGTCGACCATGCGACTTCCTAGTTTCATG